GAGGCGGAGGAGAAGAGCAAAGATGTCCACTGTGCTGCGTGGGTTCGTGAAACGCGTCTGGTGGGATGAATGTGATATCGGACGCTGGCGACCAGGGGAGGCCCAAACGCAAGGAAGAAGAAATGACGCTCCATCAAATATGATGAACACGAACATGACCTTCACGTCACGTTTTTAATGCATTTGTTTGCATTTCATCTCGATTACGTATATCGACTGGGTTGCGGCGTTGTCATTCTTGTCTTGGAAGATCGGGAAGATGGGCGGTGCAGCCGGCGAGTGGGAGAAGCCGGAGCCTGCTCCGGACCCCAGCGCCACATCCGTTCCGGCACACCGAGTCCATTCCGAGTACAACCAAGAACCTCCGGTGGGCGGAAGGCTGACTTTCGGAGCGTCCGCTTTGTAGCATCTCAAAACAGCAATGTTCTCGAAAAGGGGAAATTCAAAAAGTCAACTCAACTTTTCGCTTGACTTTTCCTGAGAGTTCAGACGCACACAGACCCATAGTCTCTTCTTGGTCCCATTGATACATTGTAATTTAGCTCACCTTTTGGATCCATCACTTTCCTTTTCTCCACGTTTTCTAGACGCTCGCGAAACAATAGGTACCGCAGCACTCGCCGTTTACTACCGGCGTGTTCCGGAGTGTAACCACGCATCCTGTCCTACTTCGCTCTAGACTAGAGGCAAGATAGCAGAAACGCACTGTGGTCATCCCAGGCTGAGATGTGATGTGCCCAGTTTCGCATGAATGTCTTCCCAGAAGCCCACGCATCGGACAAAAAAGAAGGAAGAAAACGTGGATTCAGCGGGGATGGTCCTGTCCTCGCAAGTTTCTCCAGCCGGCGTTGGTGTGAAGGAGCTTTGATCTCGTCGAGCGATCTCAACAGCATGTCCTCATCGCTGCGTACAGGGAGAACCCCAAGACATATGTCAGCGGCCCCCTGCCCACAAGCACCTCGATATCTGCATCGCTCTCCCTACCACTGCATATGCAACTCCATCACGCCCGCGCAACACCCTACCTGTTCCCATGTTCCCAGCTTTTTCATTGTCCTTCATTCCGGATTCTCGATTCCCTTGCTCTTGGACCCAGCTCGAATTCCACAATCGCCAAGCATCGCGATGACGAATTCTATAGGGATACTTTAAAACGGGCGCAAGGCTCCACATCAAAGCTTTCAGGGTTTATTGACAACCGGTAACCGGACTGATCAAATGGGCCGTCTCCATGGCAGTGCAGAGGGGTAAGACTGAGCGCAGACTACACAGTAGAGATCGCCAACCCAAGCTTTCCAAGGAACCCGTTATCATGACCCGTCCGAGTGTGCCGAAGTTTTCGCTGATTTCACGCATATCACGCAAGCAACCTCAACATGGACAGGCCTACCTCTATCCCCCATCCATTTCAGCGCTCATCGGGGGTCCAGAACAGGGGTGAAAAAGAATCCGTCTAAAACAAACCGAACGACCGTAACCGTATCATGCTTAATATCACCTGGAAAGGTGATGAAGATGGAGTGTAGTGCACGAATAGTGTCCGGCCCGTTTCACCAACTCAGACCCCACATCCTGGAACGGTACCGTTCGACACTGTACCACTCCAAGCGATTCGAGGAGAGACTTTTTAGTCCATCGACAGAAGGGCAAGATTCCCTTGCTGGCATGCCGCTGTCAAAGAAGGGGCCCCACCGAAGAAATGGCCGGATGGTAACCAAGTGTTAAGATCTGGACCCTCTCCGTTTGGTTAGGAATATTGCATGCAAATATCATCATATGATCGCAGAGGCATGCATGAGACTCGCCAATCTGGCTTACGACTGGTTTGGTAAACCGACGGCACTGGGAATTCTCGGCAAATATCATCACGATGCCAGCTGAAAGGCCTCAAGCCCCATTCCTCTGCCGCGACTTGCTAGACCTCGAAACAGGCCTTTGGACTTACCCCAGGCGATCGTGGATGACCCAGTGATGACCGATCACTAAGATCAACGGCCGTGATGCTCATTCAGATCAATGCCCCCGGAATCGAAAGAAAGATTTCAAATTCGGCCCATCCATGAGAGCCCTCCAAAAGAAATACCGGACCTACCACCTGATCCATCTGTCTATCGAACGAGACCGTCGGCTTGTGGTGCCTTGTAGGGCTAAGATAGTCTCACGTCGACCCCGAAAAGTGTCAATAACACCGGTCACTATGACCTCCCGTTTCCGCATCCACAACCGCACCCATCACGAAGCATAATCACATAAGTACTGTGACCAATATGCGAAATCTCACAGCGCAGGAAACCCCCATTGCCAGAAAGGCCCACGGAACCCGCGTCTTGCCTGTCCCCAACTTGAACTTGCCTGCCACTGCCCCCCATCGCATCACATCACCCCTCCGCATGAAGAGTTGCTCAAGACCATCCTGAGACCCGGAGCTCAGTCCTCCCGACCAAAGCTCGCCTGGCGGTCCCTGATCACCGCTCGGGCCGTGCGCAGACATTCCCAAACAAGCACCGAGTCAGAGTCCTGCCCTCTCTCACCCTCCCTTATCCGCACCAAGGCTTAGATTCAGCTGTCTTATCTGTCTCCTGCCTTGGAAATAGTGGTTTTCCTTGCAGGCTTTACAGGGAGAAGTTTGCCTCCCTCTGCTCATGGCGGCGATGCTACGTGAATAGAGTGACGTCTGAACGGTTGCATATAGAGGATGTTGACCACTAGAAATCAGCTCCGTTGAGTCGTGACGATGGTCTTGTATCGTGACGAAACCACTTCTACCAAAGTTTGTCAAAATAACTAGTGGATAACCAGCCGTAGTCTCGTCAACGCGGTCGCGGTCGCGATTACGCTCACTCGTCATGAACCATGGAAATGAGGCTAGCTAGCAGCCAAGAAATCATGTCAGGAACCCATCCGTGGCGCCACGCCGTGTGGCAACAGACTTTCTTAGCCCCAAACACCCATCCAGGAACAAAGGGCCTCATGCTTTTCTCGGGGCGCTCTTTCTCACGCCTCTCTCGAGGCTCTCGGTTTTCGCGACCAAAGTTAGCATGGCAACGATGGGTTCATCTCCCCACTGTGGCTTTTTTACCACGCTTTCAAACTGGAATTCCAACGTTCCCAACCACCTTGGGGCAATACTCTAAACTGCAATCTATTCTAAAATTGGAAAGCTCGGGGTTATGCAACATTCGATAACGGCGACTTACATGACCGCGATACCGGCCACAGCAGTCTATCGGCCCAGGTCTCTGGGTGCGTGGAAAAGCCACAAATTGGTTTAGAACCATACTTTGGTACCGCATCAGCCTAATTGGACCCAAGCGAAGAGTGAGAGTGAAACTCAGCGCCGACCCAGCTGCTTGGGTCCATGGAACTTACCGGTTGCGAAGGGCAAAAGGTCAAGGCTCCGCCCGTCTCCTTCGGACCTCGACGCGCCGCCTCGCAAAACGACACCGGGTTCGAGGGTTGGGGGCCCAACGGCCGTTGCGAAACCCGGCCATACCATGGCAGCGCCGAAACAAAGTCGCCGGCGGGGAGGACCGACGACGGACGGGCCATGCTCTTCTTCGTCTGACCCAGACATGACCCAAAGACACCGAGTGGCCGGTTCCCACCACCGCACCTCCGCCAAGTCGCATCTTCTCTTTCGCAAGCCGAGCCGTCACAAGGTTGTTCCGAATCTTACCAACGGATGCCTACCGAGAGCGAGATGACTTCGTCTTCTTCTGCTGCATCGCCGCAGGAACGGCATGATGATGGTTCGCCCGGTAAGACTCGGATGGTGCAATCTGCGCCTCCGCATAGACACGTCATTCCATCTCAAAAAATTAGATCAATTGAACGTGTTCGACCCATACCTAACTAGGCACCGAACACTTGGGCCGAGTTGCCCCTGTTTTCCTACAGTTTGCGGGTGCTCGCGACTCCCTCTCGGCAGACTCGGCCGACGGAAGATAGTGACCGAAGAGAAAAAGAAACGTGTTGTTGAGGAACCCCAGGATTCAGGCTGGTTCGCCGAGGGACGATAAAACGTCGTGAGAATATCTGCCCTTCGTGGGGGGCCAGGTTGTTTGAAGAAATAATCTCGACAAGGAGAACCCCTCGTCGACGAATCTCATAGCCAAGACCCTCCACGTGGATCCACGTGCAACTTTTGAGCCTGCCGGGCAGCACAAGATTGAGGAAAAAAACCACAATGTGAACCCTGAAGAAGTTTGCCCCTGCACAGCGGTCGGTGTCTAATTCTATCCAAGTGCGTTCTGGAGCTCCATCAGGGTAATCAGTGTCATCTAAACAGCTGACCGTCTAATTATACTTGTGGACAATATGTTTACCTCAGAGTACAACTTCCCCCTCTCTCTATGATATGCACGGTCAGCATGTCTGCCAGGCCCAATTTCAATAAATTGATAAAAACGTGTCATGCCAATGAAGTGCCATTATTGAGTGTAGCGATGCTACTTCACCACACGTGTGTATATATTTCGTGTCGATATTATACGGATACCATAGTCCATCTTTTCGTCCGGTGCTGCTCCCCCTTTCTCCGAGCTTTACGACCGCTCCGCATCCAACGGCCCGGACATGTGCAGCATTGACCGGTGGGAGAGGTTACATCGTCATGTCGATACGTCGATAAGGACGGGGTAGAACGACCGATTCGGGCACCAGTGCCGCGGCAGTGAGGGGTTCGAGGGAGATGAGCATCAACCACCGTAAAGATGTTCCACCCATCACGAGTCAAATGTAGATCACGTTGTGCCTGTTGCTTGTCACCTTCCCCAAATTCAACTGCAAAGCTATTGTAATCTTGCTTGTGGCCCTGGTTCTTTAGCACATGCCACATCGTGTGAAGGTTAACCAGGGTGTTTATGTCTGGTTCGCCTCGTGTTGCCAAGAGGGGAGTTCATCGTTAATTACGTTTGAGTTGATGGAAAAAGGTTCCTTTAAATATCACGACTGCTCGCCGTTTTTCTCGCATGTAGTTGGGATTTCGTCTCCAGCCAGCGCCGCTCTGTCCCTCTCGCTCGCCCGTCGATCTTTCTTCTCTTCCCTCCGTCCGATCAAACATCCCACGTTGCGAAACGAGCAGAAGATCCAGTCGCTACCATGAAGCCCACCAGCCTCAAGATGCTCCTCGCCGGAGGCGCCCTTTCCTCCGGCGCCCTGGCGCAGACGAGCGGCGACCTCACCATCCTCGCCATGAACGTCGCTGGTCTGCCCGAGATCCTCCAGAACAACGAGGTGCCCGGCGACAAGACGACCAACTCGCGAACCATCGGATCGTACTTCGCCAAGTACAACTACGACATCATCAACGTTCAAGAGGTAAGTCTTTGCACAAGAGCAGCAATCTATTCCCGACAGCTGAAAAGCTATTTCTTGCCATTGATCGCGTGGGCTGGGGTCAGCGCATGAGCCACATGTTGCTCCGACCCTGCGTCAATGCAAGGACATCCACGACTCGCGATCCCAGCATTTCCCATCTGTCACTGTTTCAAGCTTGAACTCTACTGCTATCATTAGCCATGAACCTCCAAGAAATGGCAGAAAATAGCAAAACAGCACTTTAACTAACATACCGAAAACAGGACTTCAACTACCACGCCTACATCTATGAGACGGACACGCACCCCTACCGCACCGCAACCTCCGGCGGCGTGCCCCTCGGCTCCGGCCTCAACACCCTCGCCAACTATGACTGGATCGAATTCGAGCGCGTAAAGTGGTCAACCTGCTCCAACGCCTCCGGGTCCGACTGCCTGACGCCCAAGGGCTTCACCTTCATGCGCCTCCGCGTCGCCGAGGGCGTCTACGTGGACGTCTACAACCTCCACACCGACGCCGGCACCGAGGCGGGCGACCTCACGGCCCGCAACAGCAACCTCCACCAGGTCGCCGACTACATCGACACCTGGTCCGTCGGCAACGCCGTCCTCGTCTTCGGCGACACAAACTCCCGCTACACCCGCACGTCGGACCAGATCGGCGTCTTCGCCTCGCAGAACGGCATGCGCGACGTCTGGCTCCAGCTCGAGCGCGCCGGCGTCGTGCCCACCGTCGAGACCCTCTGCGCCAACCCCAGCACCACAAACTACTGCGAGACGGTCGACAAGGCCTTTTACCGCGGCAACGCCGTCGTCAACCTCGAGGCGACGTACTTCAACTACGAGAGCAGCAAGTTCCTGCAGTCCAACGGCAGCATCCTCACCGACCATAACCCCATCACCGCAAACTTCACCTGGTCCCTCTCCTCCACCCTGCGCCAGTCCGACTTCTCCGGCGGCCCCCACGGCGACTGGTTCTCCGATCTGCCCGCGCTCGCCAGCAAGTCCAAGCCCAAGGCCTCGGTCCTGACCTTCCGCGGCGCGGACCGCCTCGACTCCGTCGCCGTCACGCTCGCCGACGGCACCGTCTTCACGCACGGCGGCACCGGTGGCACGGCCGCGACCCTGACGCTCGCTGCGACTGAGTACTGGACCGCTGCTAAGCTCTGCTGGGGCAAGAAGAGCAACGAGACGCGCAACTTTTACATCCAGGCGACTACCAGCACGGGCCGAACGGTCGCGGCCGGTACGGCGACGTCGGATTGCGCCACGCACACGGCGCCTTCGGGATGGCAGATTGTCGGATACTTGGGACGGGACGGGGATGAGATTGACAGGTTGGCATTTGTCTATGCGCCTCAATAAGAGAACGTAAAATCATGGGCCTTTTGCATTCTTTAATTATTTAATGCGGAGCTCGGCAACCAGATACCGACCATAATAAACCTTAAATCCCGCCGGGTTGTCTCTGATATATCGAATTATGTGTATACTGATTCTTCTTTTTTGTCGATCTTGTTCTGTCTTGTCTCGATTCGTCCCGGATTCCTGACTATCCGTTGCACCAGACACTCGTGATCAGCACCAGGGGTGGACTTTTTTTTTGAGGTAATCTCTAGCACAAGGTCCTCAACTGCTCAGTGCGGTGCGATTTCGGCCGAGGAAAGCCTGGCAATCAGTCCATGAACCCTAGCAACCACGCGATTCATGAATCAGGGTCTGCTCCGACGACGAAAAGCTGTCCCGATCGGCGGGAGCTTGCTGCCTGACGACTGTACGCGGCATAGCGTCCAAAGAACCTATGTCAACGAAAAGACTCACACGCCCCTTTTCTAGAACGGCACGAACGGCTGGCCCTAGCCAGGCTTGACTTAGGGACTTTGAAATTGGATCTTTGTTCTTCTTTGTCGATCACTTCTTCCTTGTCGCGTTTCCTCCAGCGGTTGAGCGGTTTCTCGTTCACCGTTGGAGCGACGAAAATAGTTAGCCAACTCCTTCGAATGTTGGCGGCAATGAATTATGAGACATGCACTTGGCAGATATAATCATCTACCGGTCTCTCTGCAGGCACACTAGCGGAAGATCCCAGGTCGTCTCGATCTCTCTTTTGATAAGGTAATAGTTCGTTAATCTCACGAAGCAAAAGGGCCGGGTGAGGATAGACCACTCGATATGACCTTTCACCAGCCAATAGGCAGACGAAGTGACTCTTCTCACCCATCCCCGGATCGAGACGGAAAAAGATGATCTTCAGGGACCTGCGTCGGCCTTCGGGGCTAAGCAGACGAACACGCTCTGGCCACCACGCCATAGAGGCTCGCACGTCCGTTGCTCCGGCTTGCCGGCTTAGAAGATGTCTCATTTCCATGCGACGGCCGCATCTTGGCATGAACCTGTAACAGGTGCTTGAACGGGCTTGAACTAAGCTTAAGGGAGCAGTGGCTTTTGACGAAAGAACTCGATTGACTAAGAGTGGCTGATTGAAGACCGGACTTATTGTTGGAGGCGTTCATGGGGGCAGAAGGCTGAATCGAACGGCGTCATCCCCAACTCAAGCCAACGTACGGAGTACCCTTCCAAGGCCCGTGTGGTGGCTTCCACCAAGCTTTACAGCTGGTGAGCTGCAGTGGTCGATGTGAGATTTATTGGGTGTGGCAAGTATTCTTCGGCCGGCCTTTACTAATGTCGCGGTTGACCTCAAGCAATCGCCACATAGTTAGGCCTCGACTCATCTGGTGGCGGCTGACTTGAAGCACAGCTTACATCTTGAGGAAAGGCCGGAGATACCTTCCCCGCGGTACCACTGCATTTCTAATATGGAGGCCGAGCTGCTGCTACTGCATATTTGAGAGTGCCGATAGCATCGAATGCTACCTTGATTAGACCGAGATCTCCCCAGGTGCCATAGCTCCTGATAGCTCTGCCATCTCATGTCGACAAACATTCGTCAGCCGCTGATCAGCACGAGAGTCTTTTAGCTCTTTTAGCTTTGACTCCCCGAATGGGTGGTGGCGTCAGATTATAGTAGGATGCTCAATCTATATCAGAATGATGCGAGAAACGTATACGGCGAAAGAATGAGCAAACGACCTTTTGGGCTTTGCTTCCAGGATCTTGCTTCGAGGGGTCAAGATGCGATCTTGTTGAATGTTGCGACAAAACGTCATAGCACATTCCCGAACTGCTGTGGTGCGTATCAAGACTAATATTGCACCAGCCACCCAATCTCAGGGCGTGATGAGAACGCGATTCGAAATTGAGAGCGTGCCAGTGAAGAGATTCGAGTGATTATCGTACACATGAACATGGCCCTCATTGTTGAATGGAGTGCAGCTTGCAATATGTTGGTAATGACGAGTACACAAGAGAGACTCCCGCGCCGAGTAACATAGAATCTGACATCTTGAAAAAAGTCTGGCCAGCGCCCTGGATTCGCGACGCAATGGTTTCCGAAGAACAGAGTTCAGCCAGCTCGCGGAACATGACGCGATGTGCTACTAACATGAGACGGCGTCGAGATGATTGTGAAAGATTGGATGGGCGGGCAGGTCGGGGTGGAGATCGAAGGATCAGTTTGTCCGCCACGCCCGCTACTCAGGGTCCAGCCGCTCCGGGGAAGCACGTCGAAAGCCCGCCCGAGCGCCAGAGGTGCAGCGGTTTCTGCAGTGTGCAAGCCTACGGTTAACCTCCACCATGTCAGCCGAACGTTGATATCACGCCTGGCAGACACATGGTGGTAGATGTGGAAGTGGCTCGAGCCAAAAAGAGATCCCTATAGCAGGGACCAGCAACACATTTGCGAGGTGTCTACGCATACTAGGCCGAAGTTGCGAGGCTCAGTATGGGTACAACTTTGCAGATGACATACAAATGACGAGTTGGGAGCGACGCAACGAGCGGCAATACCTAGACAAGCCAAGACAACCCATGACACCCCAGAAACCCCAAGTTGGTGCTGTAACATCTGCAATCATGGCCGGAAGCCGGGATGCCCATCGCCGTGCCTTGCTGCATGTATAGCATGCATTTAAGCAGTCCTGAACTCCATGGCGAGGCAAAATCGGACCCAGGAGCCAGGAAGCAGTGTAGTTGGGAAAGCCGAGGGTCCCGGATGCTACTGGAGAAGCTCGGATTTCGCTGGCTACATCCAGCACTGCGGAGTACTGTGGGCTTGTTGGTGGTGATGATGATGTGGAGCATATTCCATTCCGGGCGAAATGTTTGCTTCCTGTTGGATTGTCGTCGTAAATGCAAGTGATAGTTGAACGCACCTTTGCCGTTACAGGAACCTCCTCCGGGCTCCTGGGATGAGTAGGTGAGCTTCTTGCAGGAACAGAGCTTGCTACCGATCTGCTCATAGATGAAGGACTTGTAACCTGCATATCGCACCCTAGCTACCAAAGTTGCCCGAGTTGAACGAGGCCGATCGACATGGTCTGACGTGATGTTTGCTAGACCTAAAACACCGCCGAATACTTGCTGATCAATATGAGGTGAGGTCGTTGCGCCATTTGGGTCCATCAAGAGGAAGCGTCATCAGAGAGTGGCAGCTCGAGCGCACTGCATCACTTCCAACAAGATTCTCATGTGATGAGACTGCTTGAAGGCGATTTCAAACACTCGACGTTATGCAACCACTTTAGCCTTCGGACACTGGCGAAGATCGCAAAGCTCGTGGCCAACGGTGAGTCGAGCCTGCTCGATGCCTCACGAAGTGAGCTTGCGTAGCGGCCTCTCCAGCGTCCCATGGAGCGGATACATGCTTGAAAATGCAAAGCAATGAGTCGTGACCGTTTATTGGGACTCCTTCATTCCCCAGATTGCCTCTAGAATGCGTAATGAGACAACAACCTCTCATCAGAGCTCTTCATAGAGCGGCACAGCTGTAAACCAATCGAAAACAAGCAGGTTGAGTGCTGCACTGACCAGGGGGCCTGGGCTCTGAGAGTTTGATCTGGCCCAGGCCCAGTCCTGGGAACCCCTGGATGTGCATAGGTACTGCAGACAGCGAGTCGGAATCCTCCTCCCCTTGCGTTAGCCTGGCCATGGTGGGTAGTTTGACGAGAAGCAGTCAAAAGGCGTGGGTCGTCGGTATTACTATCGGTCTAGATAAAAGTGAAAAGAGGAAGCCGGTTTGCTAAAGTGTGATGAGTCTATTTAATGTCATTCAAGTATCCATTTTCACACCATCAGCAATAGCGCTTCATGCTCACCTCACGCTCTTAAATGAATGGACATGCCATGCGTTCTCATGCTTGAAGAAGCTAGAGATAATTAGACTCTACTAACCATGCAAAGAAAAACCCTTCCCTCTACGCCAAAGAGTCTTGAGTGATAATTCTGCAGAGAACCTGGAATCCCGTTATTTGGCGTGGCTCTTCAAGAACGCTGGTGTTTACAACTCGACAGGCCGACACTGATGAGATTTCTTCGGTTGTAGGTGGGCGGGTCAAGTTGCGGGTCATTCAGGTCGGCCAAGGGCAGAAATTTTGCTGCCCGTCAAGGATGAGCAAATGAGGGCATGATATCTTTGTAACCGTACCCGGTTACAGTTGGAAGATCCGGCGCGCCGGTCAAGATGATTGAAGCTCCCTGGTCACCGCTGCACCTTTGGAAATGAGGGGCCCTTGAAGATGCCCGGTGAATTCCGGTCAAAGACGTCCGTACATGGGCTCTACACCTCGTGGTTAAGATTTTTCTACCGCGAAGAGCCTGGGTTCTATACGCTGTCGTAAATCCTCTATACGCTTAAATCGACCGAGGCATTGAGATGCTTGCATTCGCCTATTGAGGAGACCTGTTGATACGGGATCAGTCGATCAAGAAAAAGGTGGCACCAAGGTTGGCAATAGCTTGTCTAGCGTCTAGCGTCGACGGGGGAGAGGTCGCGAGAGTTCGATGCAGTGCTCCAAGCCGGGGCGGGATCAAGGCCTGGCACCGGCATCTCTGCACGATGCCTTCCGTCTTGGTGGGTGGACCGCACGTGCCTATAGCGAGGCTTGCAGACAGGGGCCATGTTCAGTTCGAGTTTGCTATCTTCCCAAAAGGTGTATACCCCGGCAGCGAGACCCGCAGCGAGGTGACGAGAACTGAATCGAGGAGCAGCATTGGCACATCAGGCCGCCGCCCAGGCTGTACGAAGTTGTGATCTGTAGAGGGTTTGGAGCTGCAGGTGCTATACGGAAAAAGGTGCAGTAGCGGTGCCACCGGGCTACAATGAGCACGCTAGGAAGTCGATGCCGGAGGTTGCTGACAGCCTCGCTTGCCTTGTTGAAGAACCCGGCCGGGAAAGGTGCTCGAAGCTCCCGACTTCTAGTGTGTCCTACTGCGTGCCTGGCTTGCGTCTGGTGTCTGAAAAAGGTCAAGCAATGACCCAAGCTTGCAGGGCCAAGAGGAGGCCAAGGACGGGGATCCGGATGGCAGTGGTGGACAACGGGGGGAAGGAGTCGAAGGCTGGAAGCTGGAACCAACTGATTGATAGACCGTTGTTCAACGGGTCGGCCAGCAAGATTGACGAGAGACCCTGTCTGGGCTCTGGAGTATGAGGTCCTGGATTCATCGTCTTTCCCCTTGTGCGGCAGCCGGGTCTCGCCTCTTGTCCGTTGCAAGTTCAGACGACCAGGGCTTCGGATGGTAGCCGCTCCGCCAGCTCAGGTACCCGGTGACGTCGGGTGAAATACGGGTCGAAGGATTGCAGCGTTAGCTTGTTGGTAACAAGCCGTACTCCACAGCTTGAAAATTGAATTGGGGATATGTGACGGGCAGGATGATGGGGTTGGAAGTGAGGGTTCCTAAGCCGCAGCCCACAAGAAGCCGGTGAAGACTAATGAGTGACGACGGGATATCCGATCTTGGCGGAGACGAACCCCTGAGGACGATAATTCCACTTCTGGACATGATACGAGGTATTGCT